ATGACTCAGACGAAAAAAAATCTTGTATAGAAATCTTTATCACGTATATTATATTATACACGAAGATTTACAAGCGGAAGCGTATTTTACTTCATCGCCCTGTTATCTTAATGTCACGATTATTCCGATTGACCCAACTCGAGATATTTCGAGTAACACGTTCTCACGAAACGAAAAAAAAAACTAACGGCTACGAGAATGTCACCTGTGAAGGTGCAATTGTAAGTCACACATACTCTACGCTTTGCCATTGCGAAGTGGAGACTGTATTGAGAGACACACGATCCCATACGTACACACACGTTTATATATAAAAGCAGAGCTATATACGATAGTTGCGGTAGTAACGTGCACTTCCGGTCCCCAGGTGAAATAAAGAGGATAATGCGAAAGAGGGAGATACACGATACTCTTTCGAACGCTTCGTCGGCGTGATCTATAATTGTCGGCGGTATTTACCGGTGTATCCCAAGTATATCTGCTGCGTATATTACGGAACCAGAGCTCGCGAACCGACTGATCGATAGCGGCATAATTTCCTGTAACAACGCTGACGTTGCTGACATCACCAATCAAGATCAAAAGCGGTAATGTCATTAATTCAGATCTTGTTTACAAAGTCTGACGACAGTCCTCGGATTTTACATCTTTCTAAAAATAGCCAGTAGATTCTTCATATTCTAGACTTTTGAAAAGACAGAAATTGAGACAGATTGATCTCTTCGAATGGAGATCAATCGTCAATTATATAATTTAAAAAAAAGACTACAATTACAATTAAGTTAGTTCTAAACGAACAATAAAATAAAATTTTTGAGATATCTGACGTGTATATTATGAAAACGCTTCTAATTTTAGACACGAGCGCGTAGTCGTGAATATTAATAAATTTGTTGGTTAAAGATGCGACAATAATATCGGCAGAACTGCGGGGCAAAATACATCATTATATTTGAAATATAAAATATAAAATACTTAAAAATTTGAGATCTAAAATACTTTTTAATTCGATCTTTCAATTACGATAATATATAATGTTAAACTTTCTCAACGAAGCTAAGCGCTGCAACGCGGAAATTTTATTTCACTTGTATTAAAGTTTCTTCTTTAGGAGATCTCTAGGAGACGCAATAATTCTTATTTCTTTGACTGCGTTGGGAACGCGCTATCAGCACTATTATGTTATTTTACCTTTATCGTTAATAGATTAGACAGTAAAACAAAGATGAACATGCTTTCCGAACGCATTTTTTAAAACGCTCACTCTATAATGTGTGCATTTTAGAAAACAAATTTACTGCAAGAACTGTATGAAATTAAATTTTAATTAATAATTAATTTTATGTGTTATTAGAAATAAAATAAATAATATATAATTTCGTTAATAATTAATAGCACAACGAGTTAATTTCAACGAACAAATTTTATGCGAAACTAAAGTTTAAATCTGTTAGAGAATTCATACACAAATGAGAGCAATTGAAATAAAAAATACGCAGCGTAGAATATTACATAGCGTTATACATTCCTCGAATTGCAGATTTTTATCAAGGATTTTTTTGACATTTCAAATGCAAAATACATTGAATAACTTTTTCGAAAAAAAAACACTACTTTTATGTGCTCCGCTGAAATAAAAATTGTATTTGAAATACAATTTGAAATATGCACTGCCCTGAATATCGGAGAGCGCGAGAATGGTTATCGCGATGGCGAGAAGCGCCTGTGATTAGAGAACATGATTTTCGTACTCACGGCGGAAAAAGAAACGGAACGGCGTGGCAAGCGTCGTAAGCACGTGCCCCCCGGCTCCTAGCCAGCGGAACGAACTAACGGACAACCGGACGGGCAACGCCGGCAACGAAACAACGGGAAAAGACGAGCCTCGGTCTTGCAGCACCGGAACGCGCTCCCCGAGCGCGGACGGGCACCGCCTGTTTTTTTTCGATTTTTCCTCGCGCTAATTCAAGGCCGTCGATTTATTCTTACAATTAACGAGTTTCACGTGGCAATTCTCACGCGCAGATTCGTGTGATAAACAGCGTAATTTCAAACGAAATTTCGTATCACGTATTATGTGATAAGAGACCGAAAACTTTGTATAGAAAGAGTAAATAGGCCTGGCATATATCAATGATTAATTTTGCGAATTGCTTTAAGGATGCACTATAGGTTTGCAAATGAAGAAAAAGATGAAGAAAATGCTCGGATTAGAAGCAGCCTTGTTGATTGAAATGTTACAGCAGATCACAATCTCTCTCTCTCTCTCTCGTGGTTCCTCTCGAGAGCGCAAATTGCGTTATCGCGCAACCGACGATCATGGAAATAAATTTGTCAGCGCGCATTCGTCATCGGGAGTAATTCGTAATGCGTACGAGATGAGTCAGTTGGTCGGTTATGATAACGGTATATATGCTAAGCGAGAAGAAAGTGATCGCGTGTTGTCCGCGATTAAACTAAAAATACATTTTATGCAGCCTAAACCTAAATCGAAGTGTAACACCCGATATGAAAAGTTACATACAACACCTTAGGTATCATTTGTATTTTATAACATATGCTAACACAGAATGTATGTACTATACGTTTACATACGTTTGGTATATCTTGTACATATTACAGAATAATTATATGTAAGATATAACACAAATGTGAATTTCTTTTTTCACATTAAATTTCACAAATGAATTTTTATCGCATTATTTTACGATAATATACGTATAGTAATTATATATGTGTATAACAATTAGTTTGTAATGTATCACGAAATAATGTAATAAGAAATATATTTTTTATCTTTCCTTAATAGAAATTCGAAGTTGTTATAAAAGCTATACATACTACGATTTCCATTTTTAGATCGTTACTCCAGTTACTCCAATAGATTAACGACGTAGAAAATCATCTTGAAATTGAAATAAATCACATATCGGTTCTGCAATAGCTCACTTGCAAAGCACCTCGAGTTTCGAGGCGTAAATTAGTCATTAAAGAGCCCGTTGTTGCAACGTCGCGTACATCGCAGTGTTGTGGCTCTTTAAACATTTATGAAACCGTATTACGTGGTTCTAAATGTCATATTCCAACTTGCACGATCTTATTCTTATCACGGCGCGATAAGAATATGAATGATACTTATGTTCTTTGTCTTTTTTTCAATTTATTAATTATATAATAATTATATATATTGTTATTATATTAATTGTTACTGTATCGTATATCCTGCTTAATGTTGCAAATAAAATTACAATTATATAAGTCATTTAAATTGTTCAAATTATATAAATTATTATATTAATAATATAAATTATAATTTATATATTTTATAAGTTACGAAAGAATCTAGTGCTTGGAAACATCTCAACAATTCTTACTCGCTGCCGCTCGCCCATTGTCAACGAGACCGCGTTTTCAAGTTTTCAATTTGTTTTTAGAGCCAGTATAGTATACCGTTTGCGCGCGTGTATATAACCTCGGCGAATTTACGAGTGTCACGAGTAACCATGCGTATACGTGTGAGCGACGTCGTACACACACATGTTACTCGTGTGTACACACGTTAGGTAGCATGAGTAGTATCACACTCTACACAACAAACGCAAGACGAGAGATGCAACTCACTCCTTCTCGGCAAGGTCGTGGATTTCGTTGTCTCTCTGACAGATATGACACTCGTATCCGGTAGGCGAAGGGAGCGAGGGAGCCTCCTCGGTCGCCGAACGTTTCCCTCGCTTCGCTGACCCCTCCTCTTTCATCCGAGGATTCCGCGACTTCGTTTGTTCTCCACTCTTTTTACACGATGAAATTAAGATCTCCGAATGTTATTGTTATTATTACCCATGCGTCTCGTGTGAAAAGCGAGCATGCGCAGCACCGAAATCGTGGCTAAAACAAAACTTTGTGACGCTTTACATTTATCTATCTATTTAATCGCCGATCCTCGCATTTCGAGGAGAAAAGAAGGAAAGACCGCGAGTACGGAAGGATACGGTAGGGGGCTGGAAAGGAACAGATGTCTCGAGCCGGTCGCTATCGTGGCACGCGATTGGCTCGCGCCCAGAGCGACACGCGATCCGTTTGAGAACGCATCTTAAAGTTCCTGAGTCGCGATTTTCCCGGCGTCGCGCGCGAAGTGAACCGCGCATAATTTCACTCCGACTACCGCCGCACGTAATTATGAAACAAGACTTCTTTTTTTTTCTCTTTTTGCTTGTGTTAGAGCAATTTGAAACGAGTCTGGAAGGCAATTACAGTCCGGTTGCCAATAATTATTTTTAACTCGTCACTCGCACGCCGCGCGGCCAGTGCCGATGGGTTTGATAATAACACTGCGAAAAGGGAATCACGCTAGGTATTTTTCGCTTCTACAGAATCAGCTGTTTTTTGTCTGCGAGATCGGATTAAAAATTTTACGAGCAAAATCGTCGAACGAGAGTTCGAATTAATCATCGGTTAACTATTGTAAGTTTAATCGGAGTCGTCTTTAGAGCTCAATAAAATCGTGCCAAAAGGAGTCGTCGATTCGAATTCAATTCACAATAACAACGCGAATCAAAGTTGTAGCCTTTCAATTTTTTTATCCCGCGCATAGAAAACAACAGCGTTATTACGTCACAGATAACAGATTGTCTCCTCACGGCAACCTGGCGGTTGCAAGTGTCTACGGGCTTTCCTGTATATGTATACATACGTAATCCCGAGGTGCGGCTTTACGACGTAAAAGAGACACGGGCAACAATCTCGCGGCGAGTGTGTTACACGCGCGGCGCGAGGTCCGCGTCTAGAGTACGCGCACAGTCGATGATCTGCGCGACGACGTGACGTTCCGTTCGAAGAAAAGCCCGACGGCGACGATAAGATGGCGGCATTGCGCACGTCAGATCGCGGCTGAGGTACGGGTGGGCCGAGGGGCGGCGGGCGGGGTGGAGGGGGAGCGTGGAGCAGGGGTGGTGGCAGGAAGAGGAGGTAGACGACTGGCGGGCAGGCGGGCGGGCGGGCAGGCGAGGAGCGAGCAGCAGCGAGCAGGCACGGCACGGACGACGAGGAGTCTGTGTCTTCGTATACGTGCCTGCGTATAGAACGTGCGGAGAGGCTGCCCCTGTGTCGTCATGTCCTGGCGTAGCCACCGCGTAGTCGCCGTGATATCGAGGCAGCCTAGCTACGAGGCGGCGCAGGTCGATTCTCGTTTCGCGTGATCCGCTTCTCTCTCTCTCTCTCTCTCCCTCGTCCGTCAGTCAGACCACGGCCGTTTCGTCGATGCCTTTGTTCGCCGCGGCCGGGAAGAGGTGGACGGGCGCGGATTGTCGTCGCGACGAGGCGAAGACGAGGACGAGGGCGAAGAGGTGCCTCGTGCCCTCAGCCTAGCTGACAGCCCCCCAGTGGAAGTGTGAAGTGTACTCGCGAGAGAAGGTGCGATAATCTTGCTCCTCCGTCTACCTGTCTTTCTCTCTCGCTCTCTCTCTCTCCGTTCCTCTACTCCTGTCTCTTTCTCTCTCGCTCTCCTCTCTACTGCTCACTGTCTCTCTTTGAGTGAAACGGCGCTCCACACCCCGGCGCGGTCCTGGACACGTCTAGGAGGTGGTGGCGACGTCGTAGAAGGAGGCGCAGAGGAGCCGACGGTGACGACGACGGCGAGATGCGCGAGTTCAAGGTGGTGGTTCTCGGCTCGGGCGGGGTGGGCAAGAGCGCGCTCACCGTCCAATTCGTATCCGGTTGCTTCATGGAGAAGTACGACCCGACGATCGAGGATTTCTACCGCAAGGAGATCGAGGTGGACAACTCGCCGTGCGTGCTCGAGATCCTCGACACCGCCGGCACCGAGCAGTTCGCGTCGATGCGCGATCTCTACATCAAGAACGGCCAGGGCTTCGTCGTGGTGTACAGCCTGACGAATCACCAAACCTTCCAGGACATCAAGGCGATGAAGGAGCTCATCACGCGCGTCAAGGGTACGGAACGTGTGCCGGTGCTGCTCGTGGCGAACAAGCTCGATCTGGAGCATCAGCGGGAGGTCGGCACCGAGGAGGGCCACCAGCTCGCGCAACTCTGGGGCTGTCCCTTCGTCGAGGCGAGCGCCAAGAACCGCACCAACGTCAACGAGATGTTCGCCGAGATTGTGCGCGAGATGAACTTCAGTCCTGAGAAGGAGAAGAAGACCTACTGCTGTTGCAGCGTCCTCTAATACTTAATCAAAATCCACGTTCGCCCGGATTACCTATCCGCGGACCGGACTAAGGTGATGGAGGTATACAGTGTGTACAGTGCTTCGGGGAAAGGACTCGCCGATATTAATACGTCGGCGTGTTTCTTCGCCGTCCTGCTAGGAGGATTCTTTTCATGGCTCTTACTCGGCCTGCTGAGGAACGTGCTAAGGGAAGATACAGTGTACAGTGGCTTTCGGGCAGAGCTCTCGTCAGCGTGTCGTTTCGTCGTCCTGGAAGATCTCCCCTCGAGGAACCGTCTTTTGGAAGTCCTTTCGATCTTGGGATGCGCCGTGCATCTGTCAAGGCTAACTTATATCGCTATTCGGACGCTGCACGAATTTTCCAAAATGGGAACTATAGTTCTCCTCTTTTTTAACTCTCGGAAGACCGTCCAGCGAGCGACGGCCGTTAAACACATATTTTATTATACGCGGATAGTATTATGTATGTAATATTATTGTAATATATATACATATATATATATAAATAATATAGATAGGCTTTAAGAGCGAGCAAAAGGTAGCTTTTCCTCGGCAAAAGGACCAATACTCCGCTCGCGAAGAAAGGAGAAGGTGTTTGTAAAACCGTAAAACCAAACTCGATATCGGCTTTCTGCTCAATTTCAGACAGAACCGTCGCACGTAAGTTCGCATTCTCGTCCACAAATCGAGACTAGGTGCTGCGCAGGAAAGAAAAAGAGGTGTTCGCAGACTTTGAAGGAATCACTGTGATGGTCGTTCTAGCATGGTGATAGATTCAGGCGATAAAGAGCTAAACTAAATGTTTTAAATGAGTGAGGTTTAATCCCGTACGTCGCATAATTTGTATGCAGTCGTGTGCACGAAGGCTACGCAAATCAAATCCATCTGATTCGATGAAGGTGGTTAGGTTTTGAGGGTATTCTTCTCTGTGCAATTGTTCTGTGTTAATTTAAGCTAAGGAGGCTGATTAGCGAGATATTGTCTAAACATTTTTGTACGAGACACGTTAGGGACATTTATAACGCAGGATGCTTCACTTGATTTGATCATTTGAAATGTCTTTGTTGTTTTTTAAGAATATAGAAAAATGTTTCAAAAACAGGATATTCAATTTGGGGTTCATTTTATAATAATAATTGTCCCCTCGAATCGAGCGATCTGTTTCTGAAACACACCTCGATATGTTTCGAGATATTTCAAATGGTCAAGCCATCCTGCATGCCGGTTGTACAGTCTTAACATGAAACTATTTTACTGTGCGTAAAGGGAAGGGCACTGAGAATGAAGTTTTGTACGCGACACCTCAAGTGGTTAAACGGATAACCCAGCTGTTGTGAGATTTCTTGTGATCCATTGTGTAGCAAATACTAATGTCTTACATTCGTTTCGCTTTAATGTCTGTTCCAAGATGTTTGATACAGCGCAATACAGCGTATTTGCAAATTCCGATGCGCAAGAAGAAGTGAGCAAACTCAATATCGCGATGATTACAAAATCGGATTTTAATAAACTTAAGGGCCGAAGCTAAAAAGACTTGCCTCTAGTTTGTTGAAATCTAACATTGCAGATAATACTATACTGTTCGATGAAACGGAGAAAATTAGGAGAAACGTTTTCGTAAAGAGCTAGCTAACGTAATAATGTCAATCTAAACTCGTAATTTGTAAGCTTTGTACGGTAAAAAAAAAATTTGTCTACATAGGCCGCAAGACTGCACATTCGATCACCATGGGATTGATGACGGTTTTTTTTTTCTTAACGAGTGATCTTATATACACCAATGACAGAGCACAATAGTAGAATTAGAGATCTCCGGAGAGTGCGCCGGTTTCGCATTGATCCCTTCAACTGCAAGAATCACGTATGTGCTATTATTCATCGCTCACAAGCGACGACACCGATGTGAAAAGTATCGTAATAGCAAGACTGCAACTTTTTTTCAAAGATATTTTTTTTATCCTTGAGGCCTCGTGAGAAGTCACAGGATTCGAATGAAACTTCGCTAAGAATTTTTCGCAATATCCCGTAAAAAAAAAAAATGTTTGAAAGGAAATAACTGAATATTCAAAAATGCAGTTACAATACTTTTCGTTGTTGGCAATGCTTCCGAAGAGAAGAAATCCGTAGAATCTCGCAGTCCGAAAAACTGTCATTTCCGAATGTAAAAAGAAAATCGATGGATGTAAAAGGAGCTAGAGAGCTACGGTTTCTCTTTCTCCTAAGATCGATCAATTTTAAAATTGTGAAAAAAATTACACATCTATTTTAGAAATGTAGAATTACTGTTTATTGAAATCGTGGAGAAATTCTAAAGATATATGATATGTATCTTTATAGAGCATATTTTATAGATTATTTCACAATTATTTTTCGTTACATACTTAGACATAAGTATGCTGTTTATTTCCACTCTTTATGTTGCGCGATTTCGATAGACAGTGATATATTGCTTGTACATTTTCGATAATGTATAAGTTCTAGAAATTTCTTCCACATCTGAAGTTCGTTTATATAACAAAAGTTTCAACTTTGATTATAATAAATGATCTTTTAAGCTTTCGGTTAATTTCGTGAATAATCGTAGAGCAATAAAAATAATGTGTAATTTTTCTCGTGTGAACAAAATTCGATGTTGAATACCACTTCTCGACGAGCGTAGCGTAACAACGTCAATGTTATACATTATTGCGGGAATTAAAAGTTAAAAAAAAAGAAATAAAAAAAAGATGAGAATGAACTGATGTACAGTATTTCTACGATTGGTAGTTAGCTCGTTCTTAGGTATTGGGGAAAAGATAATCGTTCATATACTTCGAATGCGCGTGTAATTTTTAAATAACGCAAAGAAATCCTTTCGGTGCATTTTTTTCGAACGGTGCTCTCTGTAGTTTATTCCGGGCCCTGGTGAAGTTAGAGGGGGAGGAAAAAAAAATAAAGAAAAAAAAAAGAATTTGTTGAGGCGCCGGAAATCGCGGTCGCGAGTTATCTCGCGGTTCGCGCGTCGAGAGATGGAGGATAAGAGCGTAAGGCGGAGTGGCATTCGCGAAGCCGCTATTTTGTTACAATAACGTGGAAAATTCTTAGTCTCGCTGTGATCCCGTAGTCATAACTCCGCACCTTTTGTATATCGGATAACAATAATCGAAGTCTTCACCCGGCTTCGATCGGGAGGGCCTCTTTATAAAGCGTTTTGATCGTCGTCGCCTGACTTGTACACTTTCTTGCGTTTTTCGCCCTGTTTTATATACACGAATACACATACATATATATACAAACACACACATGTAACACATACATGGATGAGGTACGGATCACAAAGGACGCACAAGGCCGTCGTCTGCCTAGATAGCTCACCAAGTATTTGATATACTTGAAAAATCTATTTATATATTTGTACGAGGAGAGAGAGAGGCCGCGCCGCCGCGTGTCTCTCGCGCGTCCAATTCACAAGATTTGCGAGATTGCATGCGCTATTTTTCTAAGGCGGCGTTCTGAAAACCGCGTTGCCGTAAGAATGATCTATACGACACGAATTCTAATAATAACAGAATAACTTTTTATTTGGGGAGCTATCGCCGGGGCGGAAGAGCGTCGAGGTGAAGAGATAAAATAAAATATAATAAAAAAAGGATTGCGCCATGCCTGGAATCGGCCAGCATATCATACGTCTAAGGACCAGAATTGTTTCTCTCTTCTTCACTTTTACTTAACGATCGGCGAATCAGTTATATCTTCCTACGTGTCGAAGAAAAAGATCGAAAGAGAAAAGATACAATGTGCAAAGACATATATATACACCGTAACGATTCGCATATACAGTTGCACATGAGCATTATTGTTATGCAACCGGGTCACGCACATATTAATTAGCAATTGGAAAAAAAGATAAAGAGAAAAAAAAGAACAAGAAAAAACACCACGATTTAGATATGTGTATATCGGCCTTTCAGTACTACTACCTGCGTATATATATATATATCTGAAATATTGAGTACGAAATGCGTTATATATTTTTTACAATGTGAAGAAACTGTAAATATATTATATAGCGAGTCGAAGTATATATATATATATATAAATATAATTATAATAAAAGGTAATTATCTTGAAACTTCCGAAAGAAATGCGAAGTATTTCAAAGTGAATCTTTTATTCGTGAAAGAAAAAGAAAATGTGCATTGCACAATGGACTAAGTAGAGTTTCGTTTTTATCGTGCATAATTGTGTAGAATCTTATTGTAATTATAAGTTGAAAAATCACATGGGCAGGCGAATTTCATTTCGTTGTTACTAATTTACTATATAGTCTTAAAATTGCTATTCTTTTTTCCGTCTGTTCGTAGCGAGATATTATTCGCTAATAGTTATTTTAAAACATTCAAATTATTATTACTTAATTGTTTAATCTTAAAATATATCCGAATTATTTAAAAATATTTTCGATCGAAGAGCACCGTAGAATATTTTTTATTAACTGAACGAAGTGATAGATTTAATACGCTTTTATGTTGGATTACCAGCATGAGGATCTAGTCATGAACGAATGAGTTAAGCATTCATAAGTTGTAATTACATTTGCACATTCTTCGGATACTTCTCGAGCAAGAAACGCGATTTCTTTTCTGTTTCTTTTTCTTATCCTATTGACGACATATTTTTTGAATTTAAAAATATTGATTATCGTGAAAGTGTTGAAGAGTCGAGAAATATCTCGACTCTTCGACACTGTTTTAAATTCTGTCCATCTGATAATTCTGAAATATTTTAAATTTTAATTTTTTACAAAAGATTCAAACTTAGTCATCAAAATAATGCACATTTTTTTCTTTCTTTGCAATTTTTGTTTCTTATTTTACTTTTTATCAATAGCAATGGTATTTGGCACTGTCGCACACATATAGCGTTAGAATTTTCAAACCGAGCTCGCTAGCCAATTGGATATGATCCTGTGCCGAAAAATTTGAGTGTATACATACATCGTTTTCCGGACTCAAAAAAGAGCGTGTATTTATAATCTCGCTGTTTCGATCGATTACGCTTTCAATTTTTCCGGAGTTGTGCTCAAATTATCTACAGAAAAACAATTTAAGTTATTACTTTTAAGTTCGCAACATAATATTCCCATTGTAAAGATATTTAAATTTATAAGAGAATTATTCGTAATTTGGTTTATACGATATGAAATTTCACATTTGTGATTGAGGGAAAGACTCAGTTAAGCTAACGCTCGCCTATATGGTTTAAATAAAATTTTTTTACATTTCATTTCACATCTCTTGCACGTTTATTTTACTAATTAATTGTTTCAGTCCAATTGTTATACATTATATAGATATATTCGTTATGTACATGAGGTAGAATCAGATCCGGTTGCAAAATCGTTATTCTCACTTTGACGAAATTACATTCAAATGTGAATCAGTTTTTTTTTTGCAGTTGAAAAATCTTTCATTGCCTCCGTCTCCTTACATACTTATCTCGAAAAAGGCTACATTATTACTAAAATATTACATAATTGGTACGAGAATGAATGTATATACGAAAATATTTTTTACGAAATAGATTAAAAAATTGGTTTAAATACACATGGAAGCAATGAAAAGTATCATACCTACAATATTCAAATTGTAATTTTTTCAAGAGAATTATTTGTACAAATTTTTTTTGTAAAAAAAATCAAATATTTTAAACAAATTTCAGTATAGAATAGTATAGAAACAGTGTTGAATAAATACAAAGCGCTAAATGAAAAGTAATACGTACTGATGTTAAATATTTGTTGCATAATATATACCATTGGAAAATTATTGTAAATAAAGATGAACAGTGCCATTACAAAATGTAGAAATGCAGTTACAATACTATTCATTGTACAGAAAACTTCTCACAAAGATTTTTCTCTCGGCACTAGATTTATGTATCACCCCGATATTTAACGGTAAGTATATCATAAGATAACTAATATTCTATTGGAAGAATAATTACGAAGAAATTGATCAAATGTCCCAAAAATTTCAGAGAATTATATTTAAGAACAAAAGGTAAATATTTTAGTAAAATATACTTTTTTTTTCTTTCATACCAATAACGCGAAAATTTCTTTTTCATAAAAGTGAATCTTTAAAGTTTCTGAATTCTCCTCACATTACATACTGGAAAAATTTTATAGAATTTTTAAAACATTTAATCAACAATACGTAATTTTGTGAATACAGTTAATTATAGTTAGATAGCTAAATACAGAGTATATAATATAAAAAATAATCCATAAAAAATTACTCTCGACAATAATTATACATATAGTGACTAAAAAAGTACTTTCATATTCGATCTTTTTCGATTTCACGCAAGGAAGATTTATCCAATATATCGATAATGAGGTAGTTTCTCGCAAACGGGATATATTTTGATTGGAACATTGAAAAAATAACATTATACTTTTATATATTAAATTATCCCCCTAAAAACATGCGAACACTTTTCATACTTTATCAAAGTTAATTTATCCGTCCAAGAATATGAAATTCTGTGTCTGTTCGATGATCAACTGCGAAGCATTTTCTTTCCATATGAAGAATCGTCAATGCATTTGCATACAAATTGATATGCCTTGTACATGTCAACTATCTCACTTGTAGTAGGAGCGGAGTGCGATTCCTCGCATTCTAAAGTGTTTGATTTCTCACTGAAACACATACACATGTGTATATATAATACTTTATCTTGTATATGTTCAATACATTTATGTAAAATATAAATTCTATATTTTACAATATATAATATATTCCTATGTTGTGTTCTAATACATTATATAATATACTACAACATTTCTTTAACATATTCTTTCTTTTTGTACATATAAAAATATAATTGATTTATAAAATAAATAATAAATTAAATACGAAAAATAAAAAATTATGAAAATTCAGTGGCTATTTGATTTAAAAAATAATTATAGATATTCGCAAAGCCAATCGAGTGTTCTATAAAAATGTCAGAGTTACTTAGGAATATATTATTTTAAGATATCATAAATGTATTCTTCTAAAATATAATAACAAAGGCTTTGAAAATTCGTTCTTATGTTCTTTCATTTTGAAACTAAATAGAAAATAACAGAAATAAAATTTACATTAAATCAAAAATTGAGAAAGAAAACAAATTGTTAATATTAAAAATAAAATCGAAAAGAAAGAAAACCATTGCTATTCACTTACTTCTCAATTTCTTCAGGAACGAAGTATTCCTCGATTAATTCGCTGATCCTACGAATATAATTTCTAATCTCAGAATTTGAATTGACGCTCATGTTGTCGATCTGCTCGAGTAAATTTTCGTACATCTTGCCGTACCGCGTCTCGTCGACTGTACTTTTCAGAGAGGACAGAGTTTTCGATAGGATACTGAAGATCGCTTCCTGATGCTTGCACATATTCTGGTGCTTAAGGCGTAAGAGCGTGTTACAATAATGCACGAGAGCACGCAACAGCGAAACGAACGTGTCTTTGGAAAAGGTGTCTGTGAACATTAAAGCGAGCTGCATCGCCTCGGCGGTAATGCGCAACACGTTCTCATACGCCTCTAGTTCATTGGCCCAACTAAAGTAGGACCAGGACACTATCGTCAATTCGATAGCAAAATTCTTGTACTCTTCCTCGGTGGCGTGCAACATCATGTGACGCAACAAGACCCTCTTGTCGAGTTGAAAGTTGTAGTCGCCCTGCACAGAATTCGCGCACAGTAGTTGATACGTGGCGAGGCAACGTCTCTCGTAGCTCTGAATCACATCCTGCACAGTGCCGCGTAGAATTGTCTGTAACTTGGGCGCCAGGAATATTTGATCGATTGGCTCCACGAAATTATTAACCTTGCTGATGATCTCGCTCTGACTGTTCACCGTCAGGTCCAACGAGGCGAACAGAAAGTTCAATATCATCGTTCCGCGATCCAACAAATTATTCACGGTGCTCCTTAGGTGCGTTGGGTTGCATTTTCTTATTACTGACATCTTGTTGATTAATTCTGTAATCAGCAACACGTGATTTGTTTTGCACTTGGCGTTTTTCTTCAGGACAGAGTACATGTGTATCAGCACAGAGAGCAAATTCGAGCAATTGAAAGCATCCCCAGTCAGGCACGAAATATAAACGTTGCTTAGCAGATCGTCCGGAGTTATTGTCTGTGGAAAAAGACAGAAATAATGCATTTTCAAAAAAACTAAATACTAAATAAAAAATGAAAATCAAGGAAAAAATGTTTAATATCATGCAACATTAAAAACATTATTGTATGCACCATATTCTCTTTTAAGACTATAGAATTTTGATCTTGGCAATTCACAAAATTTTTTTTTTTTTAAGTAATTCAATTAAAAATAATCCACTCTGATATATGATTATGTAAAAAAAAATTACCATAAAATTTATATATTTTAACACATAAAGAATAACAAATAAAATTTTATGAACAATAAACTTGCTTCTATAAAGCTTATATCATTTATAACATTATATATTACCTCATAATGAAGCATGTCATTCATGAAAGCCTCAAATTGCTTGTAGCACCATGTAGAGTGATCGTGTCGCCAGATATCGTTGAGAATGTACGTCAGTAAGTTACTTTGATCGCTTAATCTCAAAACGAGAAACGAATATAGAAAATGCATCTGGGGCCTTTTAAACATAACATTTTGATACTCTATATTGGTACTGCCTATTGCGACACTCACCAGAGTGCTTAACACTCTCTTCGGATTCAGCATAACAAAGGTCAAAAGGATACACAAAGTCTGATGATCACGCATATTCACATTACTTTCTATAAACCTCTTAAAGGATTCGTTATCGAACAAGAGCTCTAAACGATTGTTATGAAAGTGCTGCACTGTGTAATGTAGTACGATATTGTACATATCGGAGAGTTTTTGCGCCATCAATACCTTCAATACAGATAAGTAGGCTTGGTGCTTCTCTGTAAAATCGTGCTTACGTGCGAACATATAATCAAGATATTCAAGTAGAACACCAACGTCCTTCGTGCTTAACAATTCTCTTTTACCGCTGACAAATTTCAATACAGACAGATCCCACTTTCTGTAATACTTGATCAGTTCCCTCATATTATCCAATTTGCCGTTCTCAATACTGTTACAAAGTTCTTCGAGTGTCAAAACAGGCTCCTCGGGTTTATTCGGACCCACAAGTTGCTCCAGACACTGGAGCAGATGATCGTTCGCCGACAAAAATTCATCCCGTTTCATAAACTCCATAAAGTAGTGACACTCGATGATGACGGCGCGTTGCAGCGAAATCGTAACGTTCTCGTCGTCATGATTATCATCATCGACCTCCGCCCAGCCCATGAACTCGAAACAATCGACTTGCTTGATCTGATTTAAAAGTAAGGCAATCAATTCCTGGTCCAATGTCGCTATGACAGACTTTGACTTGTCGATAGGGAGCTTGCAAAAATAATCCGTACTGCCGTTGGGATTACCATACGTGATCTCAAATAATTGCATCTCTTCGTTTTTGACTGGGAAATTCTTGGTCTTGTAGCGCATGCACGTTTTGACGCAGCGAAGAATTTCTTTTAGAAGAATACCATGTTGCACGTATTTTTCCTGATCTGATAACGTGGGAGTAACAAATTTTGAGCTAACGAGATTTAGCAATGCCTGAAAATGCGCTACCAATTGATAGACGAGTTCCATTATATCATGTTGTGACAGCGTGCCTAAGTGCAGCCACAGGCATTTGTAATACAATTTGGAGATCAGAAGGAAAGCGAAGCGTCTGGCTCGCACAATTCCCAGGTCGTTTATGCATCTGATAGTTATCTCCAGAATATCCATGCATAGGTCCAATGGAAGATGCACGAGCGATTCAATCAGCAAATCCTCGCACTTGATGTGCCATATTATCTATATAATATCATTCATGTTATTAAATATGCTTATAATCACGTAAGTATAATTATTAATTATAATGATATAAATCTACAATCTAATAAATATGATAATAAATTATAAAATATTCATATAATATGTATAACATATGCATATAATTGAATATAATTACTCTCTTATCACAAAAATTACATATTTCTCTCTTATCACTAGAAAAATTATGTTAATAAGCAACTCCTTTTATTATTATATACACTTAAAATTATTTAATATGGCTTATATATTATATACAAATTATATATACCAGAAATATGCATATATATACAAATTAAGGAAAAAAATTAAAATATCGTACTCAACATTCACTGTATTTATAATAAAATCAGCAAGCTAACATTCTCATTAGCAATATTACCTGTATGAAAAGATACGGCGATAGAGTAGGCCAGGAATGGACCAAATGGCCAGACATCAAGTCCTCTATGAGGAAAGGTTGTGAAGAGAAGCCAGTATTTAATATAAAATGGTTGTAAACGCCAATGATCAACGGCGTGATGGAGGATGGTTCGGAACTGTCATTCTCATAGAATAACTTAGCATTGTACATGTTCAAGGTTTGAGCAATCTTTGTAATTTCTTCTAATAATTCATCGATAAAACGTGCAGTCTCTTCTGTAGCCCGAGACGAAATAAATTTCAGTTGACCATACTCTGTTTCCTTCTTTAATAAAATTTTTCGTATTGTCAAAGGAAAATGCTCTAATGATTCCTCCATCTTAAACAGAAGCCTGATAAAATAATAGAAATTAGTAAATAAGTAGTATTAGTAGTAGATACTCTTAAATGCAATAAAATATCACAATAAATTTCATTTATGTATATATATGTCTAATTGTAAGTATATGATAAAATAATCTTAAAAAATGTATAACATAAATACATAATAATTATATAATTACATATGTAATCCATATTCTGTATTTTAATATTTTAAATCAAATTGTAAAACTGATTATCACAAGAAGATTAAAAAAAGAAAAACGATCTGTGTGATTTAATCTATAAAATTAGAATTATATCACATAAAATTAAAAGCAGGTATCAGGTAAGTTATCTTGATATTTAAAAGATTTATATGTACAGAGAGATTTTTCATGTTATATATTATTAATTCTAAACTAGAATTAATAATATATTACAAAACAAAAGATTTTCTTTGTCTTACAAAATTTAAGTACTGATAAATAGATATGGTAATGCTGACTTACTGAAATTTTTAACGGATATTTCTCATTCGAAACTTGTCTTTTACCGTCACGAACAATCACTTATGAACATTACATCCTTCGAATACTTCCCACAGGATCCGTCAATGTTGAAAAATGCTGCTGGCAAGCCGATAATCATCGAATCGCTAATGGCAGGTCAAAATATTACAAAATCCAGAAGACTTGACTTCGTCGGTGTATTGTTAATTTTTATCGCTGTTGCTCGAGTGAAAAGTTAATGTACATCTACTACAAGGATGGAACATCATCAGGTACCCACCAGTACCTCGTTCGTATCGCTGGACAACCTAACCTATTCGCCGTCACGGTGGTTCAATATTTTAAGGTTATAAACACGCCGAGCGGCGAGCCGAGCAGAGCCGAGTGTCTCCCCACAGTCCCCACTCTCCCCTCGATGTGAACTTGCTTGGTGCGGTGCTCCATCGGCGATCTCCCAACTTTCGATTCATGTTTGACCTATATTTATCTGTTTTGTATATACATACTTCGAAAATACGTGCGGTCGACAGAGCGGTATGTACGTAAATACATGATTTTCAAAATTTTCAAATCTTGATAATGATTCGTAATCTCTTTGTCCGTAATCCCGCTATTCCTCGCTTAGGCGGTTTAGGTTAGCTATAATCTGACAACGAAATCGAATAATTCAAACGTTGAAATGAATTTAATTCTTTGCACGTGTAATAATTTCGATGTATCAGCTAGATCGTAATAAATTTGTTTGTCTGTTCTTTATGAAATAATATAAGAAAGAAATGGATTTTTAGATTTCGCAAAAAAATAAATGATTTTACAGTAATTGAGAATATTATTATAGTTAATTATTAAGCCGTACATTAACAAATACAAAATTTTTGTTAATATATGTATATAATTTTGAAATGCATTCTCAAATGTGTCAGGTATCATATTATAATATTTATATTATATATAATAATATGTATAATATATATCTTTTTTATTTAATTTTTCTTTCCATCAATTTTCCTTTTTGAATTTCTACGCCTAGCTTTTACAATCAATACAGAAAATACAGTAGATAATAATTACATATAATTTGAAATTTGGATCTAATTAAAATCAATAATGAAAAAATTTCTGATAATTGGAGAGATCGATTAATTTAAAAATACTATTCTAGAAATTACATATCTATTTTAGCAATGAACAGACCTACTAGGCCTATATATTTCTAAAATCATAACAATATGAGAATAAAAGATAGATTTTTTAATGAGGGAATTAATTAGGGAATTATTTTATAATTTGGTTTGATGATAAAATTTAATACGTGGTTGAAAAGAAAGGCTAATAAAAGAAATGTTTTAAATAAAATACTTTTACGCTGTTTTTAATCTTGGGAACAAATTTTTTATATAAGAACATATAAAAAAATATATATTTATGTATAAAATGTATGTCTTTATATATTTTTTCTGTTATATAATTTCTGTTTGTATATATAAGAAAAATAATATTAAGAAATAAAAAATATATTTTTTGCATGGTTTTTTTCTATAAAAAGTAAAGTTTAAAGAAATTGGAAAAAATTTTCATATATATAATTATATATAAAATTCCATATATATAATTATATATATAATTATATATAAAAATGTAATAATGGTATAAAGAATTTATATATAATTCTACATGTACATAATATATATTCTTTTTATATAAAAATTTTTTACTAGAAAAATTCTGTACACGTGTTTTATTAATTATAAATGTCAGTCAATAATACATGTTACATACCTATATACATATATGTTAAATGTGTATACATTTAGATAGATAAAAATTAATATTAATGCTAAAAGAAGCAATAAAAATTATTATTAACTGCACATGGAAAGAACAATTTTGCTGAATCTAGATCTGAAAATAATTAAAATAATTTTTTGCGAAAGTTAAAATAATTGCTGAAATAATCAAAACGTTTTATAGCAATACTTATCAGTTTTAACATTCTGACCAATTATTTTGATGATTCAACAAAAAATTATTTTTAGATCTGTTTTTAGCAAAATTTTTAGATCTTTCAACAAAATTGTTCTTTCCGTTCAGTATTCAAATTACAATTTTTTAGGAAAATTATTTGCACAAGACTTTCTTTTTATAAAGAAATTAAATATTTTAGAATAATTTTAACACAATAAAAAAATGTTGAATAAGTATAAAGCACTGATGAGCGAAACATATGTCTTAGTATTACATACGTTTGTTGCACATACATATATATCTTTGGAAAATTTTAAATAAACCTCAATGCTATTACAAAATGCACAAATGCAGTTACAATATTAATCATTGAACAGAAAAATTTTTTTGAATATAATTCTCATCTCTCATGCTACTAGATTTATGCATTATTTCAGGATACTAATATTTAATTAAAAAAATAATTACGGATATTTCGCGAAGTCGAATTGAATTTTTCGAAAATTTCAGAAAATGTTATTAAAAAAGGAAGGTAATTTCTGTACATTTATATTACATAGAAAATATTCATTTTTGTATTTCTATTTGTTCTGTTATAAAAAAAATTTTATAGAATTTTTAAAAATGTTTGATCAAAATAACACGTAATTTTGCGAATGATTATTTAAATACGAAATGATTAATATAAAATGTAGTTCATAAAAAATAATTATCAATATTGTATAAAGACGGAAAAAGTATTTACACACTCAATATATGCTGTAATTTTATTTTGTGCATAAACAGTGTTATGCACAAAATATTTTATAAAATATATTAACAGAGAAAAAATATTAAGGTATATTATAATATAATTCTGATTGGGACATTGAGAAAAAATAGTATCGTTCTGCTCTATCCTAGAAAAGATTATGCAAATATTTTTTCCATGCTTTAACAAGCGTAATAAAAAGATAATTAATTTACTCGTCCGGGCATAAATTACGCTGGAATCGCTCGAAATATTGAATCTCTGTAGCATACTCTAACTTTCTGTAGCTTGGCCCGCATACGAACTTGTACGCATTGTACATCTCTGCGATTTTTTTCTTGATTAGAAAATCATGATATGTGCAAGTGAAATTTTTATCACAAATACTGAAAAAGAGCATATAGAAACATTTTTAATTATATGTATGTACTTTCTTACATATGTATAAAAAATATTTTATCGGAACTATCTTTATCAGGGTTATTTTTTTATGTTTTGTAACATCCAATATATTGTTATAAGATTATAATTAGCGCTTTCTCTTTCTTCTCTCTCTCTCTCTCTCTCTCTCTCTCTCTCTCTCTCTCTACAATATTTTTTTGATACTGTGTTTCTTTCTTGTGTCTCTTTATATACTATATATATTTTTTAAATAGATTTTTATAATATAGATATTTCTATATTTGTTATATGCGTTAATATATATTATACACGTATTATTCCTATCTTAAAATTGCCGTGTTACCTGCGTTGAAGCCTCTTTTCCCCAATGTTTAAAAATTCATATCTTCCAAAAAAATAAAGATATAGACTTCTTTCTGGGCTCATCTTAAAGATGAATTTTGTGACTATTTTTTAAGAAATCGTGA